TTTCCATAAAAGTTATACGTTATAAAACTTAATATTTTTATGGAATTTTTATATCAAATTTTTTATTGGGATATAAAGGAAGTTTCTTATAATTTATTATTATAAAAGTAATAAATCATCTTTTTAATATTAATATTAGTTTATTATTTCAATAAAACTGATTCAATTAAATCAATTATGATCTTTATTAAATTAAATTTAATTAGTATTAAATAATATTTACAATTTTATCTAAAAAAAAAAAATCAAAAAAAATAATATATTTTAGCTAAGAATAATAATACATCAAAGAAGTTTTATATAATAATAAATACTTTATTTATTGCTTAAAATAAAATAAAATAAAACTGGTTATATCCAAGGTATAAAATAATATTGTAAAAAATGGAGATCTCTGGTTTTTTTAAAAAATATCTGGTAAATTTTTTCAGAACTGGATAATTTTCTGGATATATTAAAATAAAATTTTTACTAATTTTGCAAAATAATTATCAATTTTTATCATCCATCAAAAAAAAAATTTTTTTTAATAATTTTTTAAAAAATAATTTTACAATATTATTCTAAAACTTCTAATAAAAGGTATTTGCTCTATAAATGTGATATTGATTTATTAAAATATAATAAAAATTAATAATTTTATAATAAATATTTAGTTTAGAAAGCAGTTTATATGAAGATAATTTTAATGATAACATTGCTGAACCTGCTGAACTTATAAATAAAACCAAACCTTTAATTTAAAAACCTATAGTACAGCATTATCAACCTTTTAAAAAACTAAAATTTAATTGTAAAACTAGAGTTTTTAGCAAGAATAGCTAAGAATTTATCTATGGTTAGTATATAATGCATCTAAAAAATTAATGTTTTATTCAATTTATAAAGCTCATAAAATGGCAAATCATTTTGCAAAAGAAGGTATAATATATTGTTTTATTTATTTATAATATTTATATACTATACTTTTTTAAACTAATAAAATTTAATTAACATCTTAGGATCTAAAAATATGAAAGCTTCAGCTCCAGCTAAACATTCTACTAGTGATGATCATATTTGAGCAAATAATCTTGAACTCGCAAAAGTACAAATGAAAAAAGTTACAAATAATACTATTAATAAGGTATATGAATATACTTGTTGTCTGATGAAAATTATCTTCTGGTTAACTAAAAATGATATACCATTAAATAAATTTCCAAATGTCATTCAACTTGGACGAGTTTTAGAATCTTCAAAAATTATTTCTACTTCTAATTCAATTACATATGAAAATCCTGTATATGGTCGAGAATTTTTATCTACTATAGCTTTATCAATTGAAGAAAAAATTTAGCAAGAATTAAAAAATACTAGTTTTATTAGAATAATAATAGATAAAAGTACAGATATAGCATATGAATTACATATGATTATATATGTTAAATATTATATTCAAGAGGTAATAAAAGTTAAATATTTTAAGCTTATTCAGTTGTAAAGTAAAAATGCAGATTCAATTTTTAATGCTATAATTACACTTTTTAATGAGAAAGGTTTGTAAAAATTTATATTTTTCTTTATATTTAACAATATTAATTAACATTTTTTTAAAAAATATAGAAATAACATTAAAATCACTTCATTTACATCTGATAGAGCAAGTATAATGCTTAGAAAAAGAAATAGAGTTGCAGCAAAAATTGCTGAAAAGAATTCATATTTATTTACTATACAATGTATTGCTCATAAATTGGTATTAGCATGTAATTTAGCAGAAAAACACGTACCTTTTTGTAAATATGTAGAAGATATTATAAAATCAATTATTCTTTTTTTAGTTCTTCAAGTAAAAAACAAGAAATATTACGACAATATTAAATGGTTTTAGATCATCCTATTTTAAAAATTTGACAGATTCACAAAATAAGATGGTTATCATGATATGAAAGTAGTGAAAAATTTATGTTTAACCATTGAACCTTTAATGGATACACTATTAGAAATGTTCATTCTTTCAAATAGAAATCAAAAAGAAAGCATTATTCAATTATATACTCAAATTTGTGATTGAAAATTTTGGCGGTATTTTTCTTCTTATATGATATCTTAGGTTATCTTAATAATTTAAGTAAAATATTTCAACAATAATATATTCAAATTTTAAATATTGATCCAGTAATTGAAATAACGATCAATAGAATTAAATTGGAATATTTAGATTTTGATGATAATGAAAAACTATTACTTGGAAAAAATTTAAACAAATTTTTAACTGAAATACCATCAGAATCAAACGTTAGTATTGGTACTCATGAGCTAATGTAAATAGAGAATTATGAATCAGATTTAATTGCTATAATTTCATTATTTTCTGAAGCAGTTATTTTAGAATTGCAAGAAAGATTTCTGAATTGACCCTTATTAAATGTAATGAAAATTTTTAATCAATTGATTTGGCCAGATGATAAGAAATTATTGGTTAAATATAGGAAGAATGAATTAAATATTTTGATGAAATATTATATGGCTATCATTGAAGAAGATGTTTTTGATGAATGGAATAATTATAAAGCAATAGTTTATGTTAATTATAAGATAATAAAGTTAGAATTTTACTTCTGAAATTATTTGAAAATTATTCTGAAGATTTTCCAAATACAGTGGCTGACAAAAGAAATGCAACAACTTATTTTTAGCTTTAAACGCTTATAACTTATTAACTACAAATACTAGAAACATAATCTTTGATTTATTTTAATCCTTACATTTTGGAAAACATCCTATAAAAATTTATTAGCCAATTAATAATGCCAATTTTGTATAATGTAAAGATCTACATTAAAAATAGTACTTAATGACTTTTGAGCTTAGAAAACTTTTTTAAGCAGGCTAGCTATCATAAAACTGATACTGGATTCCTATTCTCCTCTGCGCAACGATTCTAATAAGCTAAATTTTGTCTAAATTGGACTATCCGATTAGAAGTTATCACGTAACAAAGATCGGCATTTTACTATATAAAATTGGTTAGACTTAGAGGTCCGAATCAGTCAAAAATTTTGTAATCGATTAATCAATCGTTCATTATTCAAATTAATCGTTAATTAATAACGATTATTCAAATTATTCGGATCATCCGAATAACTAATTAGTTTAAAGAACTAAATTGTTAATTTATATTATTTTATTAATTAAAACAAAAAAAAAAATATTTTGAACTTATTTTTATTATTAGCAATGATGACAAATTATATTGACTTTTATTTCAGCTATTATATTTTGCTAATTATTATAATCAGATTTCTTCTGAAGGAAATATATCCAAAACTTTTATATTTCGTTTCAAAAAAATCATGCGACGAAGTAAATTTGAATCAAGACGTGTATGTCGGATTGAAATATGATTTCCTGTGTCTGAAAATAAGCGTTTACTTGAAACAGATGTAGCAGTTATAGGAAGATATTTTCGTGCTAATTCAGATAAATTTGGAAAAACCATTTTTCGTTCATTCCACCATTCACCTGGATCAGTATTATATTCAGCACACTTCATATTACTGTAATTAACTATTTCATCATTTTTTTTTGTCACTAGTAACTGCATTTAAAAAAATTTTTTTAAAAAGTGTATTTCGCGATTGAGATTTTTGTGTTGTAATTGAATCATCTAATTAATAAAAAAATTAAATGGTTAAAATATATGCTATCATTTTTAAAAAATAAATTAATTATTTATTTACCATTGATTATAGTATTTGAATTTTCATTTGGCGAAACTGATAAAGTTATTAGAGATGATGATTCAATCATCTCTTGCAATTCATTATGAAGAATTTCTTCAATTTTAAGTTTCTCTTCTCTTGTAGTAAATAATAAATTTTTAAATCTCGAATCCAAATATGAAGCTTTAAGACTAATTTCAGAAGGTACATCCCAATATTTGTTTAAAGCTTGTGAAATTATAGATTTAACTTGATTAATTATTCCTTCTGTAGACATAGGTTGATTAATATTAATTTGATAATGTGTAATAGGATTGACTATCTCATCAATATTATTATCTGATTCTTCAAAATAATCTTCCTCTTCTTCTTCATTATCCAAAATAGTTGTATTATTTGTAAGATCAATATTTTCAGTATTGTTATTATTACTTGAAAAATGATTTTTTAATTTCGAAATTGTAGGATACATTAAGCTAAGTGTAATATAATTACTTCCTCCTAAAATTGTGATTGCCTCTTCTAATATACTAAGTAAATCAACTAAATTTTCCATAAAAATCCATTCTTCATCAGAAAGGTTAAATTTTTTTAATTGATGTCCATCTTTTTTAATATTATTGTCCTGATCACATGTTAAATCAATTGCCAATTAATCAATAGCATCCTTTAAGTAAAGAAGACATTTCCAAGCTAAAAATGAGGAATTTCATCTTGTAGATACATCCTGAATTACTCCTACTTCATTTATATAACCCAGATTTTTTTGTGTTGCTAATAAACGCTCAAGTTGTTTAAGATATTGAAAAAATCTAATTAAACGTTTTGCACATGCAATAAAAATAATAGTTAGTTCTAATGCTTTACCAACTACCAATTGGAGAATATGTGCTGAACATGAAATTCTACTAATAGAAGGTAAATATGATATTGCTTTTACCATATTATTTCCATTATCACTAGTTATAATTACAATATTATTTTGAAAATTTCAACTATTAATTAAACTAATTAAAGATTCTTTGATTATTATAGTATCATGAGGATAAAGTAAATATTTGCATTCTAGTAATATATCATAAATTTTAAAATCATTATTCATAAAAGAAGCGGTAATACCAATATAACTATATTTGGCTCTTGAAGTTCACAAATCTACTGTAAATGAAATATACTTTGCAGATGATAGTAATAATTCTTTTATGCTTGCTTCTGTCCAATAATAAGCTTGATGAATCATCAATTTAATATTTTTTTCATTTGGTAAAGTATAATAAGAATTTAATGAAAAAAGAAATTCTTAAAAATATTTATCATTTACAACATCAATTAGTTTTACTCCATGAAGAATCCATTGTGTAAGATTTCTATTAGCCTTGAATTGCTTAGTTTCAGTCTACTGCTTAACATTTGAATTATTAATATATTGATCAAGTGTTCTATTTTTAACAGCCTAGTATATTAAAAAATTAAGAAATTTATTAATTAAAAGTTTATTAATGAATAAAAATGATAAAAAAAATTCACTAAAAAATTTTTGTTATCTTAATATGAATTTTATTTACATCTAAAATTCCATGTATATTAGCAAGATGTTGATTTACATTACTTGTACTACCCAAAGCTGCATATGTAACAGTACATAGTTTGCTATTAGAAAGAAGGTTTTTACAAGCTATTATTTTATCAGGTCCACTGGAATTATCTTTTTCATCAAAGAATTTCCATACAAAACTTCGCTTAACTGATCCATCAGACCTTTATGTCATAGTCTTTTCACAATATGTGTATCTGCATCAGTATTAACATTTTCGTTAAACGAAGTTTTAGATACATTACTTAATCTTTCAGAATTACTTAAAATTATTTCTTGTTCTAAGGAAACATTATCATTGAAATTTGCGTCATAATATTTATTAGAACCCATTTTATAAAATAAAATTTATACGAAAAAATATGAAAAAATAATTTTGAAATTAAAATATCTTTCATGTGTTATTTAATTAATTTAAATGTTGCATGTGCACATGCATGGTGATACATGCCTATTAAACAATAGATCTAAATATTTGAATATCATATTATCCAATGTTAAGCCTAAACACTACATCGTTAGGATAACAAAGCTTATTTGCTAACAAGGAGTTTAAGTTGTAAACTATAAAAGAAATAAACATGAATTTATTTAAGTTGAAGGGTCAGGTCATCTTTATTGATAATTTATGTTTAAAAAAATAGATATTGGCAAAGATATAGTTTTTATGTTATTAAAATTATACTTTATTAATTATACGATAGAAACTTGTTAGTTTGTCAAGACAACAATACAGAATATTTATATAAAATACAATTATAAGATAGAGATAATAAATATAATAGTGAAAGTAAATATAACTATGAAAATAAATATATTAAATAAAATAATGATAAACATAATAATAAATAAAATAAAGAAAATGAATATCACAACGATAACTGTAATAGCAGTGAAAATGATAATCACGATTTTTCTGGTGATCATTGATGATATTAGTTGACGCAGTTATCTAGTGACGTAAACAGATTATCACTAACACTGGTTATCCATTCGTAGTTAGTGATAATTGATTAAATGATCAAATAATCAGTCAATATTTTCGTCTAATCGATCATTGTAATCAATTAGTCATATCTGGATAATTTGACTACGGATTGAATGATTCAGATCTCTAAATTAGACAATAATTTTAATTTCATACCTAATATTTTTTTTGCTAATCAACATTATATTAGTACATGCACTAATCCTAATAGAATATTAGTATTTGAACAGATTTTCGATCGATATTTTAACGCCCCATTTAATAATATATAATTATTTATCAATGTAAGCATAATAATGATATTATTATATGCTTTTATGATGTTGACTTAAAATTATGAAGAAGTTCATTATCATTCTCTTTCTCATCATTTATATTGAATTCTTTTAAAAAAATTAAACTACTTTAAAACTACGAAAAAATGTAAACTATTTGTTTTCTTATGATAAGCTTATAATTAAACAAATTTTTATTTTAGGCGAATTATACTTTGAATAACCTATTATAAAGAAAATCTTAAATATTTATAGAAGACGAATTGCTTTATTCAATAAAAAAGCAACTATTTTATGCTAACAAACTATAATGTATCTACGATTATTTTTTGATGAAAATACAACCAATAATGCTGCAACAATAAAAAAAGATCCCTTTTGTCAACCACTACAGATACTATAATCAGGGAATATACCAAATATTAGTTAAAATTAAAAAATTTTTTAAATTTTTTAAAATTTTGATTATTTCTGAATTTTCATTTATCAATACTATTATACTAAAAAAATTATTTATTTTTTAGAGAAAGAATTTCTCAATAAAAATTTCCTTGTAAAAAATGTTTTATTTTAAATAATCCTGATTGTGCAAGCTTTATCTCTTATAATATGCATAACAATTTCGCTTTTTTGAATTCAATTCAGAATATTTTTTTTAAACATTTTTATCAAACTGTTCAAGAAGACTTTTTATCTTTAGCAATATTTCAGATTTAATCATATTTTCTTCACTTTCTTGAACCTTTGCTTCTTTTTTTAAACTGGTATTAACCTAAATTAAAGAGAATTATTTTTTTAATAAATACTTCAGTAATGAAATTTTATCAAGCTTTTTTGCTAAATATATAAAATTTATTAAATTTTCATTTAATTTGTATTCTTTTAGGCTTCGATTTACGAATTCAAGGCTTTAAAGATAAGTTTCAAATCTTTGGCATTTCTGGCTAAGTTCTTAATCTATAAATTTAATAATCATTATACTGATTAGTTTAAGTTATTTCTAAGCTATAATTTATTATAAATTAGCATATAATATTTTAATAATTTAATTAAAATAAAGTTATCTCAAGGAATTTTTTGCAATTGTACATAATAATTTTATTGCAGAATAGGAGAAATTAAAGTTTTTAAGGTCTTGTTTACCTTCTTTATAATTGCATTAAGTCCCTGATGCTATTCGTAAATACCTGATCTAGAAATAACGCAATTTTCTCTATCATTTTGAATACTTCTAGTCGAAGTCATATCATCTGAACCTCATCTGCAACTTCTATTAAATGTAGCATCTCACAGATCAAATAGAAAAGAATGCTCATTTAACAGGTCTCTTTAATAAGGATCATTAATTTTTATAGCCTTTCGATAATTAATTATTACTTGAAGGTAAACAAATGGCTATTAAAAATTAATATTATTAATTAAAAGTTTTATAAAAAAAATAAAAACCAATAACTGTTCATATTTTATCTGATAAAATGAATCTTATTTTTTGCCTCAAATAAGATATCCTTTGACTGATAAGTCAGAGTTGCTTTTTATATATAGCTATATAAGTTTTATAGAGATTGCTTGATAATATATGTTGCAAATAGAATCCTAAGACTTATGATGATTTGCATATTTTTGAAGTAAAAAAGCTGATTATTTATTTGATAACCTTGGCATACTGTAAATTATTTTATATTAATTTCTCTAATATAGATTAAGTTAAGTATTAAGAATATACTAAGCAAATAGGAAGATTTTATGAAACAAATAAAATTTTTAATTACCAGTTTAATTTCATAAATGCTCAAAGCATATTTATTTCTTTATAAAGTTATTCCAGTATAATTACTAGTTAAGAAAATTTCTTCTTTATTTTCATAATATAATAGTATAGAATACCATTATAAATTACTACTATTCATTTTTGAATTTTATTTCTAATACCCATTATTGTTTCTATAAAAAGAACTTTCTCAATATTTGCAATAGAATTGAAGTTAATATTGATTGAATCAGGAATGTAAATTTCAGAAATGTTAATTCCTTAATTAGTGATTAGTTATTAAGTAAGACTAATCCTTGAAATAGATGTAATGTTTGACTCATCACTAAAATTGTATAGTTTAAAAATGAGCGAGTTTTCAGTTAGATTATTTTTAATTTTAGCTATTTTTTTGAATTTTAGTTAACGTTAACAATCGTATTTAGCATTATAGCATACTTTTTCTAATTTTTAATATTTTATTTATAGCAACTAAGACATTCTTTCATATTAGTAACGTTAATTCTTATAGATAATATAAAAAAATCGATAGTATTAGTAAAAAATAATTTTTCTTCAGATAATAAATTAAAAATATTATTAAGATAATTATGTAATTCTTTATCAATTATTTCTTGCATTTGAGAGGTTAATATCAAAAAGCTCTTCATATTGTAACCTATTAAAAGAATTAAATACCCAAGGTGAATCAGTATGTTGAGTTTACTTTTAGACTTCATGTTAAAACTAACGAAACTGATAATCATATGGTAAATCACTATATTAAATTCTTAATCAAGATAATTTTTTTGTCCTTTTTGTTTATTATCAAATGCAAAAAATAAAGTCCTTCAGGTAATAGTTCTTCTTGCTTTGATAGTTCTTTTTACTATTTTTGAAATTGATAGTAGCTTTCTGAACCTATAATATGATTATTAATATTAATAATCATCTTTAATCATATAATTAAATATTTAAAAGCTGAGAGGACAAGTTGAATTTCTGAAATGTATTTTCTATACTGTGCATTATATATTGAATCAACCGCAATAGCAGTTTTAAAAAGTTTTTCTTAGCCTAAAGTATTAGAACCCTAAGTATTTTGAATAAAAGTTTTGATAAATGTAACAATCACCTTATTATGTTTATTGAACTATTCGTAAGGACTATATACTACAAGAATTTTTAAAGAAAATCTATTAATATCTCGAATTAATGATTTTAAATTATTAAATAATGATATACATTCTATATTTACTATTTTAACAATTACATTAACACATTTTTATTGATTATCAAATCTTAAATTTTACTATTTAATAAGAATCTTATTAGTCTTATATTATTTATCATATAAATTTTGCGTCATATTTATATTGTTATAGGCTTACTGTAATTGTTCTTTTAACTTTTCTATTTCATTTTTTTAGTCTTCTTTATAATTTTACATTTATATAACTTGATTATTAAGGTTTATTACTTTTTGCTAACTTTTATTTGCATAGAATTTAAGAGTTTTTTAGTTTCATCAAGATCAACAATTATATTAATATAATTTTTCTCAAGTTAGATTCTTTTATTCTTTTAAACAGAATTTACAAAATGCTAATAAAACTGATTAATAGTAAAATCATATTTAGCATATAAATGTAAAATTGATTTTTTTTAACAGTTTTCATCCTTTCTATTTTAAAGGTCTCATATTATATATTTTTTTTAATTTATAATATTAGAATATAAAATAAATCTTAAAAGTTTAAATAAAGTTAATTAATAAATATGAATTACTTATTTAGAATAATTTGCATTTTAATTAAATTAAAATTATTTTATAGTATTTTAATTTATATTAATAAAAATATTTTATATCGATATGAAATTTTTGAACTATAATATTCAAAACTACCTCAGTATCATCATAAAAAATTCACTACCATGTAACATATTAGCTCACATTATAGCATTAAGTATGTCATCATGAAATTAAGTGTGGCTCTCTTGTGATAAATAAGGGAGTGATAAATATGATTTTGCATAGTGTAAAAAACTAAGTTCTCATAATAGTTATAAAAAATAAAAGTAAAAAAGTATGTGATGTAATGTGACAAATATTTTACTATAATTACGTGATAGTAAATTTTTATGGCGATACTAGGGAAAATCATATTCAATCAATTATCATGTGATTTAAAATATAACGATCATTCAATTAGGATTTATTTATATTGATCATACTAATAAATACGTATTATTTATTTTGTTTTAATTTTTTTTTCTTTCTTTACTCTGTTTATTTTCTAACTTAAAGATAAGTCTTAAA